TGAGTCCGGGCCGGAGACCTGCGGGCCAGGCGACACCGCCGCGGGAGAGCGCTGGCTCCTAAGGCTGATGTTAGGGCCTGCGTTTTCCAGCGGTGTCAGCGGGTGCAACGCTGGCATTTCTCCTTTAGCCCCTGTGCACCTGTTTCTAGGGCCTCCAGGTTTAAGGGGGGCTGGGGAGGAAGGTAGATCAGCTTTTAGGGCTCAGCGTTGCTTCTCCGCCTTTCCTGACTTACGCGATCCTGGGGCGGTCCCTTTTCTTAAGTCAGTTGTTGGGTCACATCCTCAACATCAGCTTTTTTTATTTTTCTCTTCCCATCATCCAAGCCTCAAACTGTCGTTCCTATTTTGGTCGTTTTGTAGTTGAACTTCTTTGAATCTTATCCTCATTCGCCTTGTCCTGCACCCTGAACCTTCGTTAATTAAAAAATAGTGACCACATACATTTACCTTCCACTTTGAGCAGGTCGCCTTCCTTTGCATTGCGTCATCATTCTTTGCAAGAGTTTTCCCTATTATCGTGCATGCCGTCTTCCACATTATTCCCTTGCACTACGTGGTCCCTGTCCAGGGTGTTCGCTTGCTACTTCTGCGCCTCCGTCCATCCGTCCACGCCCTTGGCTTCTTCTAGGCGAGGCTGTCATCGAGGTCCATACGCCTCTGTACCTGCCCTTTGCCATCCCATTCCTTTGCTGCAGAATAAGCACGACCTATTTCAAGTGCCAAAGCTGTTAGGATAGAATGTGAAAGAATTTCAGATACAATTTTCATTCTTTGGGACAAAGTTGCAATAATTTAGAGCTGCACTGCCCAGTACAGTAGCCATATGTGGCTACTGAACATTTGAAATAGACTAGACCAGATTGAGATGTGCTTTGAGTGTACAATACACACCAGATTTTGAAAACAGTACAAAAAAGGAAACTATCTTGATAATCACTTTTGTATTAATGTTGAAATGATAAGTATTTTGGATATATCGGTTAAATAGGATATCATTAAAATTAATTCCACCTATTTCTCTTTTCTTGTGTGACTGCTAGAACACGTATATAGGCTACACAGTAGGGTTGATTGAATCTGCTGATGTGGTACCCGAGATATGGAGGACCGACTAGATAATTAGCATATCATTTTAATAATATCTCAGGAATTCAGAAATTAGATGTTAGCAATTACAGAGAAATTATAGATAATTACAGTTTTTGTATATCTATGTCAATAATTACTTTTCTTTATAGCTGAAGTAGGTCTTGAGACCTATTTTAATTTGATGGCGTTCTGCTTTCTTGCTCTGCTCATTCCAAAGTTCTGTGTGCATTTTGAGATGTTACTGAAAATACTGATTAGTTTTAAAGTTGACTACCTTTGTAATATGAAAGATTTTTAAAAAAATACAGTACCAATAGTTACCAAATGTCAATAGGTCAATTTAGGAATCAAAGTTTAAAAAAATTTTTGATTTCTTTTGTATTTGCAGACACTTCAGAGTCTTTTGCCTTTTTGTAATGTTTTCTAAATGGTGGCGATTCACATATTAGAAATGGATTTGGGCTTTTAAAAAATGAGTTAATGAATGTATCAACATTTGTATTGTAGGTTTTTCAGAACGCCTTGAGCATGGGTCCCACACAGTGGGACTTCCCTGTGGAGTTATGTTGTCGGCCGATGGCCTTTGTCGCTCTCACCGGCCTGGATGTGGTGTATAATGCTGTCCACCGAGCAGTCTGGGATGCTTTCTGTGCCAATCGGAGGGCTGATCGGGTACCAATTTCTTTCAAGGTGCTCCCAGGGGACCACGAGTATCCCAAATGTAGACCCAAGGTAACGGCATTGATTGCATGGGGGCTTTCCTTCTCCCTCTCTGTCTCTGTATGTGCATTTATCCTTTTTGTCCCTATTGTCTGAGCTCGAAAACCCCTGAGTTTATTAAGGGGATGGTTACAGTAGAGAAAACCCTGGACTTTGTCAAATCTAGTACACTGCAGGTGTGTTTAATAATTTTTTTTTAAAACCCAGCAGAATAATTACTTTATAACTATTAAGCTTTTTATACAGTGAACCTAGTTTTTCCTTTTTTCATTTGTTTTTAAAAAACCCCAAGTCTCCATAAAGGCCTCTCTATTTAGGAAGGTTTCACATTCCCCGTTCATCATTACCAGTATCGTCGTAGGATCCATGGTCTTCACAGTTTACAAGTAAAGCGAAATGCCATCTTGGCAACATGTATTGAAACAAATGAAGCTATGTTGGATTTCAGATAATAGTTTATGCGAGCAGCTTTTACAAGAACAGACACTTGAAATGGTGAGGAATATAAGTCAGATTTACCTGGAAAAGGGATGTTTGCTTCCAGGGTATTTGAGAGCCTTAATATCATTAGAAACACTTGGTTTTGTTCATTCTTTAAATGAAAATTGTCACAGCGCTGGGGTTGAGATCCCATCTCTAGTACTTTCTGGCTCTTATTTGGTCTCTGTAAGCTGGAATTTCCTCGTCTTATTAACCATGGCTTGGGTATACACTGGGTGAGATAAATGCCCATACAGTGCCTGGGGCTCAAGAACAGGCGGTTTCCGCTGCTGTTGTCATCCAGTAACTCTTCACCTTTTGCCAATATTTGCAGAGAACTTCCTACGAGTGGTACATTCCGAAAGGGATCCTCAAGACCGGCTGGATGAACAAGCATCTGAACCTGGTGCCAGCCCTGGTGGTTGTATTCTACGAGCTGGACTGGGACGAGCCGCAGTGGAAGGAAAAGCAGTCCGAGTGCGCCACCAGAGTGGAGATAGTCAGGTCTGGTCGGCCCGTTAGGTTGGTGGCCACTGGGCACTGTTTAGGCCGCAGTGGTCACTTTGGGGATTGCTGAACTCCAGTGAAACGTGTTCAGTTCCAAACAGGAAGCATTCACATTAACTTAAATAATGCTGAGCAGGATGAAGAAATTAGAAGACGAATTGGTCTGAATTTTCAAATGCTTTTTCTTGCATTTCTATTTTTTGAAGATACAGTAATTTGCTCGTTAGCCTCATAATACTTTTGCTCTATCACCAGCTCAGTTTCAAAATAATTCTTTTGAATGACTACTCTGTAATGTATCACTATAAGGATATTGTATTATAACTTTTACATGAAAGTGTATATTAAACTTTTACTTTCAAAACAGACTTTTGTGAGGATCCAAAGCTTGATGTGAGATTATATTTTTGAAGTTGAAATCATGTTTCTTTGTATGCAGGGAAAGATTTCCTCTAATCTTGTAGATTTTTTAGTTGAAATTTCTTTGGATTATCAAATGTATTTTAAGTAAGGTCTTGAATACAAATATGTATTTAAAATATGTTTTTATTGATTTCAGAGAGAGGGAGAGCGGGAGAGAGGGATAGAAACATCAATGATGAGAGAGAAACATTGGTCGGCTGCCTCCTGCACGCCCCCTAGTGGGGATGGAGCTCCAACCTGGGAATGTGTCCTGACCTGTAATTGAAACATGACCTCCTGGTTCATGGGCTGATTGATGCTCAACCACTGAGTGACACCATCTGGGCTTGAATACTAGTATATTTCTAAAAAACAATTTAATTATTTAATGTTATAATTTTTCCATTGCAGGCAGAGTTTACAAGGGAGAAACACAAAAGTTGCAGTGGTTCTGATTCAGAAGAAAACCCCGTTGCCCCCAGGTATCAAAAAGTTAACAATGAATTAATTGTCTTATGCCTCCAGTTCTTATTACCAAGAAGCATAATTGTTAATGTCGAAGTCTCTTATGCATTCGGTTGTGGGAAAGGTAGTGTGGTAACGTAAAAGTACTAGTAACGCATGCATAGTGCTTATTGTAAAAATTTAAGAATATTCAAGAGTGCAGATCTTCTTAAGTCCTGCTCCCTGTCACTTATCTCTCGATGTAGGCATATAGCAATTGACAAAACAGTTACCACTTGATTTTTAAACAATGTTGTTTACTTACTTATCTTAGATCTGTTTAAAATTATATTCCTTGTGTAATATTATTTTTCTTAATTTGTAATAGGGCCAAGAAAAATGCGATAGTATTTCTAATTTCTCATTAGAAAATGCCTAGGTTTTGCCCAGCCAGAGTGGCTCAGTTGCTTGAGCGTTGTCTCATGCACTGAAAAGGTCGCAGGTTTGATTCCTGGTCTGGCCACAGACCTACTGAGAGGCCAAAATATTTTTTGTTTCAGTGTTGAAACTTGTAGCATCCTGAATCCACTTTCATGAATTATTGCTTCCATTTTTAGTTACGGTTTTTGAAATAGCATTGTGGCCTCTGTGTTGGCATTACTTAGTGTATCTTGGCTCAGGAGAAAACTCCATAGTGTTTTCCTGACAGATAATGTACTGTGGCACTTCTAAGAACCCGAAGTGCTCCCAGGGACCCCAGGAATCCTACTGGCATGGTGGCAGTGGTGGGTTTTTATTCTTAACTAGAGGCCTGGTGCACGAAATTCGTGCACTGGATTGCGAGAGGGTGCAGGTCAGGCCAAGGGACCCCACTGTTGCACGATTTGGGCAGGGGAGGGACCGCGGGAGGGCTCCAGGGTGTGTTTGGCCCATCTCGCTCAGTCCCCATTGGCTGGACCCCAGCAGCAAGCTAACCTACGGTCAGAGCGTCTGTCCCCTGATGGTCAGTGCACGTCATAGTGATTGGTTGACTGCCCCCTGGTGGTCAGTGCATGTCATAGTGAGTGGTTGAGCAGCCTTAGCGTATCATTAGCATATTACGTTTTGATTGGTTGAATGGCCGACTGGACGACCAGACACTTAGCATATTAGGCTTTTATTATATAGGATTATATTGCTCAGGTTTGGGGAAATGCTCATTGGGAAAAATGTATTAATTATTTTCTCTATCTTTGTGGGCCATGTCAACAGGAGAGGATGTTATGGCTTCAGAAAGGGCTGCAGCTTTATGTAATGCGTGTGAACTCTCAGGAAAATCTTTGTTTGTCCTGCCCCACACTGACCACCTTGTGGGTTATATTATAAGGTAAATGAAGGTGTTTGAAATATTTTTCTTTAGATTGTTTATTAGGCATTGAGAAATTAGAGGTTTAGACCCATTTATAAAAACAAAAAAATAGATGTTAATGGGGAAAAAATTCAGATGGTGTTGAGGATATGAGATAAAAAGTAAAATCCCCTTAGTCAACTCTTTAACTTTCTCCGTTTCCCTGGGGTAACCACTGTCAGCATCTTACTACACTTGATCTTCACCAAAAGGCCGAGAAGCGATTCCACTAGCAATGACTTAATTCCCTTCCTAAAAATGTCTTTCTTTATAAAAATAAATATAATCTTACAGCATATACTGAACTGCCATGTAACATCACCTCATTGACACCATATGTATCTCTAGGTCAACTTCATTTAAAAAACTTTTTCATATTTTAAATTGGACTTCTCGGTAACTACCATCTGGCCTTTTTTGACATACTTGTCCTTTTATATGACAGTGTCTCTATTTCTGGCCTGTGTTTTACTTCATTTTCAATGTTTATGTATATCCCATCTAATAAAGAGGGAATATGCTAATTGACTGGCCCGCCCTCAAAGATGGTGGCGCCCAGTGTCCTCAGCCCCTCCGGGGCGGCAGATGCACGGCAAGGCCAGGCCCACCCCTAGGCAGGCCCGACCTTGTCACGCGCCTGCCCCCAGAGTCCCCCAGTCCTCTCAGCCACCCAGCCACCCAGGGCCGGCCGGAGGCTCAGGTAACCAGGGTCGGCCGAGGCTCGCGCTGCCGGCAGTGGCAGCAGCAGAGGGGGGATGGGGGGGTCGCCTTCCCCTGATCACCCGGTCGCTTCCCACCCCTGAGGGCTCCTGGACTGTGAGAGGGGGCAGTCCGGGCTGAGGGACCCCTCCCCCTCCAGTGCATGAATTTTCATGCATCGGGCCTTTAGTATTTAAATAATGTTTTAAAAGGGTCAGAGTCCCATCATATCTTAGCCTGCAGATATAGCCTTATCTCACAAATTATGTGACCATTGTCCAGTTCACAGAAGCAACTTTCTATTTTTTAATAGATTAGAAAATGCCTTTTATGAACATGCACAGACCTATTACTACACAGAAATCAGAAGAGTGAAATCTCATAAAGAATTTTTGAATAAAACAACACACCAGGTACGTGTTTTTCCCTGAAGAAGGAAATAAAGATTCTAGAGCAGATTAATTTGAGGGAGATAGTGAATGTTTTTAATACTTTGATGTTTTTAAAGGGCTTCAGTACTTTTAAAGTTTTTTTTAAGCATTTATTTATTTACTTACTTATTTATTTTGTTAATCCTTACCCGAGGATATTTTTTTCCATTGGTTTTTAGAGAGAGTGGAAGGGTGAGAGGGATGGAGGGAGAGACAGAGAGAAACATCGATGTGAGAGAGATACATTGATTGTTTGTCTCCCAAATGTGCCCCGACTGGGGCTGGGGATCCAGCCTGCAACCTAGGTACATGCCCTTTACTAGAATCGAATCCGTAACCCTTCAGTCTGCAGGCTGATGCTCTAACCAGGCCAGGGCTTTTTAAAGCATTTAAGAGCTAATTAGTTTTTGTATCCTTTGCCCTTAATGTTCTTAAATGTAGACTTTTATAGCCTTCTTAACTATACTTATTTGTTGGAATAATTTTTGAACTTTAATTTTGAATATTTTCTTATACTTTTGTGTCTCAATAAAAATTAAAAATTTTATATTTTTAAGAGAATGTGTGTAATGATGTTTTTTCTATTCTTTTTTCAGCTTTTATTTGTTAGACATCAGTTTAAAATAGCTTTCTTCAGTGAGTTGAAACAAGATACACAAAATGCGCTGAAGTAAGTTTCTAACAGTTGTCAAACTAAATTTTTCTTATCTTGATTTTAATAATACGATATTAATGGCAACTTCTGAATCACAACCAAACTAATTTTAAAATGTTTATCTTAATTTAGATTCAGGTGTATAGTATTTAGTTTATATAGATATGAGTGGAATATAATATTTTTAGATTTAAAAAAATTCTGTTATTGTAAGTAAATTTCATACAGTTATAAGGCTTTCTGGTCTACTTTCATTAAATGACATGAACTAAAGAAACAATATTAAAATATTACCACTTTCTACTTATTTGTATATTCAGTAAAATGCTTGTGTTAAGACTGCTTTCTTCTAAAGTTAAATATACATATAAATATTATCTAAATCAGACTATGAATTTGAGTTATATAGTGCATTTATTCAGTTATGATTTTGTTTATTTATTTGTGTTTTAATTGATTTTATAGAGAGGAAGGCAGAGGAAGAGGGAGAAACATTGGTTGGTTGCCTCCTGCAACCTGGGTTTGTGCCCTGACTGGGAATCAAACCTACAAGCTTTTAGGTAGACAGGACAGCACTCCAGTCAAACCACACTGGCGAGGGCATGATTTTATTTTAATTAAAGTTGTTGTTTAGTTTTTAATGCCTGACAATGGCATCATTTTTCATTCAATTCTCTGCTTAGAGCTTTGATGAGTAGTTGGGTATGTGTTGGCAGAGGTTAAGCCTTTCATTCCTTTGCCACAATTTAATAAAACATGATCTCTTTCTAGCTTTGGCAGTGGCAGTGTAACAGAGGGATAAAAACAGCAGTATATTCTCAAATTGAGGACAGGCTAAGTGTACAGGGAGAAAAATAGAGAAATAAATAAAAACATGTCTATTATTCAGAGGAATATTGCAGAAACCTCTTTTGTGTGGGTTATTATTGAGGTGCTAAGTACCAAATTGTTCTCTAAATCTCAACAAATTCAGATAATTAGAGCTGAGTTTACTATAGTGTATTTTGAATCCAAGGTATTAGTTAAAAACCTTCCATTCCAATTCTGTCCAAAAGCGCTTCTGGAAAGAAAAGTGTCACCTGGTGCAGTTAGGAGCAGTTTCTTTGGAGAAGACTGAGATTTCCTCCTGACCGTCCATGTTCAGGGAAGGCCCCCTTCCGCCAGGCTCTCCTTTGTCCCACGCTCTCTCCCTCAGCACCATCCGCCCGGGAACATTGCCCCTCTCCAGCCTGCTCCTGAGACCAGTGCTTCCCACTTAACTTGTAGAGACATTTGGGTTTAAAAGCTACTGACCTGTGCTGTCCTGGTAACACCTTTCCTAGAACAGTTTCTATTTGTTTGAGAAGTTTGTGTGATGCTTTTAAGAAATAACTTATTTTTTAACAATGCTAATTTAAAAACAAATACTGATTTCAGAGAGGAAGGGAGAGGGAGAGAGATAGAAACATCAATGATAAGAGGGAATCATTGATTGGCTACTTCCTGCACGCCCCCTTCTGGGGATTGACCCCACAACCCAGGCATGTGCCCTGATCAGGAATCACTGTGACCTCCTGGTTCATAGGTCAATGCTCAACCACTGAGCCACACTGGCTGGGCAACAATACTAATTTTTAAATGTAATTCTGGACAATTTTCCACTTTTCTTTAGTTTTTCAACTTTTTTTCTATCAGTTATTGACAGATGTTAATGACAGAGCAAGGTGCACGTGATGGTACTGTTCTTTTTTTTTCTTTATTGATTAAGGTATTATACATGTGTCCTATTGCCCCATTGCCCCCCTACCCCTTCACTCATGCCCTCACCCCCCTGGTGTCTGTGTCCATTGGTTAGGCTTATATGTATGCATACAAGTCCTTTGGTTGACCTCTCCCCCTTACCCCCACCCTCCCCTACCTTCCCTCTGAGGTTTGACGGTCTGATCGATGCTTCTCTGTCTCTGGATCTGTTTTTGTTCATCAGTTTATGTTGTTCATTATATGTGATGGTACTGTTCTTAATGAAAAGTCATTGAAGCTTCTCACACATTATTATTATTATTAAATATATTTTATTGGTTTCAGAGAAGATGGGAGAGGAACAAAGAGATAGAAACATCAATGATGAGGGAGAATCATTGATTGGCTGCCTCCTGCACGTCCCCTACTGGAGATCAAGCCCACAACCTGGGCATGTGCCCTTGACCGGAATTGAACCCGGGATCCTTCAGTCCACAGGCAGACGCTCTATTCACTGAGCCAAATCGGCTAGGACTCACACATTATTAATTCATATATCACTTTTCAGGAAATCAGAGCTTAATATGTATATGTTGTTGAGCTGTTGAGTGCTAAGAAATGTTAACTCTCCATCCTCTTTGTTATTTTAATAATTTTGTTCTTAGGAATCTTTTTAAAATTAATTTATAGCGTAATTAATCACTTCCCTCGTGTTTCTCTTAGGAATTATCGGACTGCCTATAATCTTGTACATGAATTGAGAGCCCATGAAACTAATATTCTGGAAATTAAGACTATGGCAGGATTTATAAACTACAAGGTAAGAGTTCTAATTCCAAATAAAGAAAATTTGTTTTTAAGTATCACATTATCTTTTTAAAGTTTGAAAACCAAAATCAGTTACTTGTTCTGAAAAGTATTAGATTAGTAATGCACCTCCTTCATGTCCTTTATCTCAAGGACACCTGGTGCTTAGCAGCCTAATTATAATGCTTGGTTTGAGTTTTATGGGTGTCAGAGTTCTAAGGGGGTCTTTTGTCTGTTTTTAAGTGGGAGCAGGAAGGAGGGAGAAGAAAGCTGCCTATAGTATTGAATTTTAAAAGGCTTAACATGTTAGAACCATACAAGGCTTCCTTGGTTTAATGCACAGCCATAGGAAAGGTGTATCTGTTCATCGTAGTGGAAACTTTTATTCATATGATTTACGCATTTTAAGTTTATCTATGGTAGAAATAGATGCCCCCAGAAGGCAGGTGAGAGCTGTTTGTTTTCTTTAATCTTCCCACACTCAGTATTTTAAAGATGCCTGGCACTGGGTTGGTGATGTGAGGGCAGATGGCAACTTTAATTCATTGTGTCTGTAAGTATAAATTGGTCCAACTTCTATAGAGAATAATTTGCAATGACTGTACAAATTTCAAGTGGATGTTGCCTTTGATCTTAGCAATTCCATTTCAGGAAATTTATCTGACGTGTGCTAACTTGCAAATCATACATATGAGGATATTTATTGCATCCTGTAGTAGGAAAAGATTGGAAACCCAGAAATAAGTGACTGGCTAATATAAATGATAACTCCAGACTTTTTTAAGGTATAGAATAGACTCAGTATAATACTGAGTAATTTTACTCATTTATCAAAGGGGCATAGCCTCTGGTTTTAGCATAGAGAAAATCTATATTGTCATAGAGAAAATCGATTCTATCTCCAAGAACTTCAGAGGAGGAAGCTCCATAGTCCTTGAAGGTTAGTCTCAATGTTTACATATTTTTAAATGAATATGCCTTTGACTTTGATTTTCTTTTTTCTTTTGGGGTTGATTTTACATTTTGCAGATCTGTAGGCTATGTTTTCAGCACAACACCCCATTGGATGCAATTGCTCAGTTCCGAAAACACATCGACTTGTGTAAGAAAAAAATCGGAAGTGCGGAGTTGTCCTTTGAGCATGCTGCGTGGATGTCTAAACAGTATGTTTTCAATTGTACTTTTAGGATGTCTTTTTTTTTTTTTTTAATACTTGGGAGGGGGAAATGGAAGACATCTGTAATACTGTCAACAATTTAAAAAAATACGTGTGATATGGAGGGCTAGAATTGGCATGGACTTTCATTTAAATTGAGCAAAGAGTTTTGTCAGTAAGTAGGTTTTTAATGGTCTTGCATAAGTATGTTTCTAGTAATCCTATATAATAAAAGGCTAATATGCAAATCAGCCGAACGGCAGAACCACCAGTCGCTATGATGTGCAAAGACACTCAATGCAGGAGCTGCCCCCTGGTGGTCAGTGCGCTCCCACAAGGGACCGCCGCTCAGCCAGAAGCCGGGCTCATGGCTGGGGAACATGGTGGTGGCAGGAGCCTCTCCCGCCTCTGTGGCAGCTCTAAGGACCCCTTGGGGGATGTCTGACTGTTGGCTTAGGCCCACTCCCTGGGCTGTTGGACATCCCCCGAGGGATCCCCGACTGTGAGAAGGCGCAGGCTGGGCTGAGGGTACCCGCCCCCCCCCTCCCCCCGGGCACAAATGTTGTGCACTGGGCCTCTAGTTCAGTATATATTTATTGACTTTCTAACATGTGTCTAGGTACTGAGAATATAGCAGCGAACAAAACAAAATCTTTACTGACGTGGAACTTCCTACTTGAGACCCATGTTTAAAAATTGCTAAAATGAAGTTCCCAGAGTCACGGATGTATTTGATGGTGGCAATTATGTTGGCATCTAGTTTGGCAGGATATTGTAAAGGGCTGCAGCTCAGAAGAGTGGACTTAGATACAGAATCTGTTACCTGTAATTGATTCGTGTGTATTAGTATTTATGCAGGAAGTCCCACTTACTTATAGTTCATCAGTAGCACTATTTTAATCCAGTCTGGTGAGGTTATGGTTCCAGGATGAATAATTATAAAAGTAAGCTTTTTCTTTTTCTTTTCATTCTTTGTTTATTTTTTGATTTTTTTTTTCTTTAAGATTCCAGGCCTTTGGAGATTTATTTGATGAAGCTATTAAGTTAGGGTTGACAGCTATTCAAACTCAGAATCCTGGTTTCTATTACCAGCAGGCAGCGTACTACGCCCAGGAGCGGAAGCAGCTCGCAAAAACCCTCTGCAGCCATGAAGTAAGTTACTGACTCCCTTCTGATCTGCCGTTTAGGAAGTTGGTTCTTCTTCTCTTGAAAGAAGATAAAACTAGTGGGTGTGGGTAATTTTTTCCAAGCCTTTGAATATAATCGGCTCCATTTCACCTGTGAAGCAGTTTTTCTTTGAAGAGCTGACTTACGATTGTCAATCTAGTGACTTCTTAGACAAGAGAAAATTACTTTAAAATAACAGCCACAGCTCAGCCCGTGCCACACTAAGTCCAGTGTTGCATTTCTGTGCGCACGGCTGTAGGAGCTGGAAGGGCACGCAGACGTGAGCATCATTCTGACTTATCAGAGAGGATGCCTCTGGACTTTTCTCTTCCCGAGGTTTCCCCGAGGGAGGACTCTCAAGAATCTGAGACATACTGTTAATTGCATAGTTTCTTAACTTGACATTTCATTTTACCTGTCTCTTGGATGATTGTATTTAAACACCGGTTTCCCCATAAGCACCTTTAAAATAAGCACATGGTGGGTATGTGTGTGTATATATTTACATTCATATAGTGGTATCGGTTTATTTTCACTTACAATTCCGTTTTCTTCTCAGAAGGTCAATGTTTACATATTTTTAAATGAATATGCCTTTGACTTTGATTTTCTTTTTTCTTTTGGGGTTGATTTTACATTTTGCAGATCTGTAGGCTATGTTTTCAGCACAACACCCCATTGGATGCAATTGCTCAGTTCCGAAAACACATCGACTTGTGTAAGAAAAAAATCGGAAGTGCGGAGTTGTCCTTTGAGCATGCTGCATGGATGTCTAAACAGTATGTTTTCAATTGTACTTTTAGGGTGTCTTTTTTTTTTTTTTTAATACTTGGGAGGGGGAAATGGAAGACATCTGTAATACTGTCAACAATTTAAAAAAATACGTGTGATATGGAGGGCTAGAATTGGCATGGACTTTCATTTAAATTGAGCAAAGAGTTTTGTCAGTAAGTAGGTTTTTAATGGTCTTGCATAAGTATGTTTCTAGTAATCCTATATAATAAAAGGCTAATATGCAAATCAGCCGAACGGCAGAACCACCAGTCGCTATGATGTGCAAAGACACTCAATGCAGGAGCTGCCCCCTGGTGGTCAGTGCGCTCCCACAAGGGACCGCCGCTCAGCCAGAAGCCGGGCTCATGGCTGGGGAACATGGTGGTGGCAGGAGCCTCTCCCGCCTCTGTGGCAGCTCTAAGGACCCCTCGAGGGATGTCTGACTATTGGCTTAGGCCCGCTCCCTGGGCTGTCAGACATCCCCCTAGGGGTCCCCGACTGTGAGAGGGCGCAGGCCGGGCTGAGGGTACCCATCCCCCCCTTCCCCTGTTTCCCCATAAGCACCTTTAAAATAAGCACATGGTGGATATGTGTGTGTATATATTTACATTCATATAATGGCATCAGTTTATTTTCACTTAAAATTCCGTTTTCTTCTCAGAAGTCAGGTGAATATGATCAGCAGTCCCACTTTGTATTTGAATGTGTTGGTGTTTGTGTTGATGAACACTTTTTATTCTGTCAGGTGAGGGAGAGTTGGTTGTGGTGGGTAACATGGACTCCTGTTGAGGGTCGTGTTTTCATTCGCAGGCTTCGGTGACGTATCCCAATCCTGACCCCTTAGAAACACAAACAGGCGCTCTTGACTTCTACGGACAGAGGTCCTGGCGCCAAGGAGTACTAAGTAAGCACTTCTCCCTCCTCCCCTTCTCTCAGCCTCAGAAGGCAGATTCTCTCATGATTTTTCTCTTGGCTGCTTTAGGCAGAGCAGATTACGTTGAGGTGAAAATGTGTGTTTTAAAAATACTTTAAAAAGATTTTCAGTTTTTTAGTTTTAAGAGTGTTTTGTTTGTATCACTTCATCTGAGAATAATTTAAAATTAAAGATGGGATAGGATTAAAATATTTGGACATCTGTTGTCTTAACTTTAATGATTTGTTTGATATTTTAAAACAGCATTTGTATCACCTTAAAAATAATCTCTCTGCATCTTTTTTTGTGTTTTATGCATACTTAATTCAATTGGAGCAATTTCTGTGGCAAGTGTTGAGAAATCATTTACTTCCGTCTCCAGGAAGAATATTCTGTGTAGAAAATGATGCTGGTGTTACTCGTCAGGTGGTTGATTCCACCTGGCAAAGAATATTGAGCTCCGTGATGTTCTCTTTAACAGAGGTCACAGAGAAGTTGCCATGCTAATAAATCTGTCTCTTGCAATCTTTAAAGTTCTAGAATGTTTGAGAATTGTAAATACATTATATTGAAGGAAAGGATTCGAGGAGTGTGCACACCCCCTCTTCATGTGGAGGAGTTATGTTCAATGTGCTATCTAAAATGGGTTGGTTCTTACCTAATACAGGTTTTGACCTTTCGGATCCTGAAAAAGAGAAGGTGGGAATTCTTGCCATTCAGCTGAAGGAGAGAAATGTTGTTCACTCGGTAAGTTTTTCCCCAGTACCAACTATTTTGTACAGCATTCAAGTAAAACGTGGGATTGTTTTTGTTAGAATGTCTCACACTTTATCTTTTCTAACAGGAAATAATAATAACTCTTCTGAGCAATGCTGTTGCGCAGTTTAAGAAGTATAAGTGTCCGAGAATGAAAAGTCATCTAAGTATGTATCCATAACATGCCATAGTTTCTTCAAGTTGGAATGCTTTTAAATTATGTACATCAAATCTTTCTTCCTTTGTAGTGGTCCAGATGGGAGAGGAATATTACTACGCAAAGGATTACACCAAAGCTTTGAAGTGAGTCATGTTCACTGTATTTTTACAAGTATTACGATGACCTTACAGCACAATTAGAAATTTGTACTGAAGGATTTAATATTTCCCTATTTATTTCTACTTCTATTAAACTTCATTTCTGTGATATTTTTTCAAGTGCTATCTGCTAGTACAATCCTTTTCAAAGTCTTAGGGAGCCTCAGATTTAGCTAAATGTGAGAATACTTGTTAAACTATTTCAGTAAGATTTTCTGAAGTTTGGGCATTTTTTTCCCCCTCCCCCCACCACCCCGCCCAT